CTGGTGTCAGCACCCTTGTTAAAATGAACCGCCAGGGGGTAGTACACGGGCCCGTTCGCGCCCAGTTTGTGAGATGTCTTCGGCGGATTGTTCGTTTTCATGCCCAACATCCTTGGCTTTCAGGGCAGATTCTGAGGATGTCTCAGGCAGGGCGCTGGTTTCAGCACCCCGCACCCCTGACGGGACCCGCCAGGGGTGTTTTCACGGGCCCGTTCGCGGCCAGTTTGAGGAGGGGGAATGAATAGGAGGCTCATATGCAACCATATTCAAAGCTCATTCTGACTCATACTCACTCACTCGCATTAGGATTCGCTCGTCTTCGTCGGCCCTGTCGCCCACGTGGACGCGCTATTATAGTCAAGCGTTCATGAACAGACGCTCGCTATGGCATGACATAAAACATGAGATGCACATATGGGGAGCTCCACGCAGTGAGTAATTATTTTAACCTTTTACGGCTACTACGATTACGAGCAACAGTACCCTATTGGACAGATAGTACTAGTACGTTTCTGTGCGTCCCAGTCACCCAGGTACATACAGGCAACATGGAGACAGAGCAAAACACCGGGTTGGCTGGACGACTGCCCCCCCTCCGCAACTCTGCTCCTCTTCTCGGGTGTGTTGCCAGAGATAGCCCTGGCCATTGGCCCCAGGCTGAAGAGGAGGAGTGGACGAGGACGAGGAGTGGACGAGGGAGGAGTAGGGAGGACGAGGACGAGGACGAGGACGAGGACGAGGACGAGGACGAGGACGGAACAGGAGAAGGAGGAGGAGAAAGCAGAGAGAGGACGAGGAGGGAAGAGGAGGAGGAGGAGGAGGAGGATAGAAGAGGAGAGACGAGGAGGAGGAGGAGGAGGAGGAGGACGCTGATGATGAGGAGAGGGAGGACGACGAAGAGGGAAAAGGTGGAGGGGGAGGAGAAAGATTATGGAGGACGAGAAGGGACGAGGAGGAGGAGGAATACGAGGAGGGAAGAGGAATTGGACGATGAGGAGGAGGAACGGAGGAGGACGAGGAGGGAAGAGGAGGAGGAGGAGGAGGAGATAGGAAATGGAGGCGGAAGAGGAGGAGAGTGGAGGGGGAGCAGGAGGAGGAGGACGAGAGGGAGGAGGAGGAGGAGGAGGAGGAAGAGGAGGCGGGAAGAGGAGGGGGAGAGGATGAGGAGGGGGAGGAGGAGGACGAGGAGTGAAGAGGAGGAGGAGGAGAGGAGGAGGAGGGGGAGGAGGAGGAGAATGAGGAGGAGATAGAAAGAGGAGGCGGGAGGAGGAGGAGGGGAGGAGGAGGAGGAGGAGGAGGAGGAGGAGTGGGAGGACGAGGAGGGAAGAGAAGGAGGAGGAGGATGAGGAGGAGATAGGAAGAGGAGGCGGGAAGAGAAAGAGGGCGTCCTCAGCCATTTTGGCAGACCTTTTCGGGACCGCCGGCCCAGACGGCCTTGGGGGGGGGGGGGGGCCTCCGCGGGCGATGCCCCTCGGGGCGAGGGCGCTGCGATCCGCCGCTGCTCTCGCGGCCGCTCTCCAGGCGGCTGGTGCCGCAGACCCTCGTCGTCGTCCTCGTCCTCGTATTTGTCCTCGTCGTAGGCGCCGCTGTCCTCGTCCTGCTTCACCTCGCAGCGCACGCGCCTCTCCAACCAAGCAGCGCGCACGGGGGGTTGCATGACAGTCGGACCGAGGCATCAGATCGAGGTCGGTTCGGGGAGGGTAGCCTAGTGTTCTTCGTATGTGTGTATGTATGTATGTATGTGTGTGTGGGCGCATCCTGCTGGAGGGTCCCCTTGGATGTTCTGTATGTTTTGGCCGGCGGAGGGTCTCGTGCTCTTGAGGGATGTTATTCTGGCCTAGGTCTGGTTGTAGTCGTCGCTGTCCTCGTCCTGCTCCACCTCGCAGGGCACGCGCCTCTCCTTCGTCCACGCGCAGAGGAGGTAGGGGGAGGGGAAAGGCTTCTTAGAAGCACCCCTGCTTCTCAGAAGGCGCAATTTTTTGACTATTTTCAAATATTCCTCCTGTACAGGGACAGGCACGACTGAAGTGTAGTCGATACGTCATGTCTTGCTGTCGCCGTCCCCCCGTCCCCCGCCTGCGTCTCCAGGTGGGCCATGCGTCACCCCTCCGGCTCGTCGCCGAGCTGCCCGGGGGGCCGGGCGAGCCGGCGCCCGACAACGGCACCGATCAGTGGCTCACCAAGTGGCTCGGGTCCTTAGGAGGCCCCATGCGAGTCCTGCCCCACCGCTCGGTATCGTTTAACCCAATCCCGATCCCCATCCCCATCCCTTTCGAGACCCCCACCAAATTACCATCCCAGTCGGGGATACACCCCTCGAAACCCGAAGGGAACAGTCTACATCCCCATCAAGGGGGGTAAATCGGCCAGTGGGGCCCAGGCCACGCCAGGCCGCCGGTGGGGAGGGGGATCGGTTGAACGATACTCAACCGCCCCACGATTTCTGAGGGGGCGGTGGGGTTTACTTCTCTCGGGAGGTCCCGAACGAAGTGAGCCTTACCTCCCCCCTCAGAAATCGTGGGGCTGTGGGGCAGGCTTCGCACGTCAAGCAGTGGCGAGGCGTCCTGGCTCGCCTATAGGCCCACCAAACAATGCTCCAATAACTTTTTGTGGTTTCAGCGAACTGTACTTGGAATATGTTCTGGCTGGGACTGTCTTGGTTTAGCACATCGGGCTTATGCTCCCCAAAACTGGTTTTTGTTCTTGGAACATTTTTGGGTTCCAAACACATGTCGTGGTAGGCCCACAGGACTGCCGGGACGGTCGGCCCTTGCTCAAGCACGGGGCCTCCTAGGTCCTTGAACGTCACCGTGCCCTCTGCCAACGCCTCGGCCACCAGGGGCATCAACATGGGTGCGGAGAGGATCGAAGCGGAGCACGCTGCATAGACTTCAGTCGGCTGTGTCCCTCTACAGGAGGAGTATTCAAAACTACCCTCAAAAAAGTATCCTGGCGAAGGACCCAACCATACGCAAGTGTGAGAACCGCAGGGCAGGTGGGGCGACGCAAGCGGAATTCCCAATGGGGCTACGAACCGTGTGAGGGGTGCGCGAAAATGGCGCGGGGCCGCCATGCGAACCCTGCCACTGGGGCCTTCGGTGGAGCTCCCTGTGGGGCCACGAACAGTGTGAGGGGTGCGCCCAAATGGGGCGAGGCCGCCATGCGAAACCTGCCACTGGGGCCTTCGGTGGAGCTCCCCATGGGGCCACGAACCGTGTGAGGGGTGCGCGAAAATGGCGCGGGGCCGCCATGCGAACCCTGCCACTGGGGCCTTCGGTGGAGAACCATGTGAGGGGTGCGCCCAAATGGGGCGAGGCCGCCATGCGAAACCTGCCACTGGTGCCTTCGGTGGAGCTCCCCATGGGGCCACGAACCGTGTGAGGGGTGCGCGAAAATGAAGCGGGACCCCCACGCGAACCCTGCCACTCGGGCCTTCGGTGGAGCTCCTTATGGGGCCACGAACCTTGTGAGGGGTGCGCGAAAATGGCGCGGGGCCGCCATGCGAACCCTGCCACTGGGTCCTTCGGTGGAGATCCCTATGGGGCCACGAACCGTGTGAGGGGTGCGCGAAAATGACGCGGGGCCGCCATGCGAACCCTGCCACTGGGGCCTTCGGTGGAGCTCCCTATGAACCGTGTGAGGGGTGCGCAAAAACGCGGGGCCGCCATGCGAACCCTGCCACTGGGGCCTTCGGTGGAGCTCCCTATGGGGCCACGAAACGTTGTACTGGGTGGGTGAAAAGCAGGGAGGAGGGAATAGGAGGAGGAGGAGGAGGAGGAGGAGGAGACGGGAGGGACGCGGGGCGCTGTCTCTTCAAAATGAGGACCCAACACCACAGGCTGGTTGGGAAATAGTCCGGGGCGATGTTTTGACTGTTCTTGTTTGTTTTTGTATATTGTTCAACCACTTTTTATTTTTCCTACAGAATCCGCCTGCAGGGGGACACGCCCGACTTAACCGTAAGTATTCGTCATTTCGCGCAGGGTTCTTGGATCTTGCGGCGCCGCCTTTGGCGCTCTCCCCGCGCCACGGGGGAGGGGGGCAGCGCTGAAGAATTCCGAACGGACCTTCGAACTTCGAACCTTTCTGGGATTAACCTCATCTCATGAAGCAATTAAGGACCCCCCCGGGGTTATCATTAGCACCGCCCCGTAATTAAATAATTATTCTGGGGGGTTTTCGCGGAGCGATATAATTAGCACCGCGCACTTGAAAGGAACATCAATAATTCCTGCGTCCCTCCTCGGATGGCATCCCAATTGGAATTGTAATCAGAATCAGAATACGAATGAAAATGCGAAGAATAACAAGAATACTAATAAGGCGGATGTCACAGGTACTGCTGACACCGTAACTGTTACTGCTACCGTGATGACGATGAAACCTGATGGCGTGATGCTACTGTTACTGCTACCGCGATGCTACTGTTACCGTGATGCTAGGCGATTTGTGAGGGTGCTCAGGCGATTTTGACAATTCTGTTAAGCAATGTGAGGATGTCTCAAGCGATTTGGCTAATTCTAAAAAGAAATGTGAGGATGTCTCAAGCGATTTGTGCAATTTTACTAAGATGTGTGAGGATGTTTCAAGCGATTTCTTCTTCTTCCTTCTCTACTCGTTGTTCTGATCCGCTTGTTTTTTTCCGATGAGGTTTATATTGAACATCCTTTAGAGACATGCGTTTGTTTCGGCCGTCATAGGGGTCCACCCGAGGGTATCGCCCCCACCCCGCACCGTGGCGTTATCTTAGCACCCGGCCAAAAAATATCCGTGTGACAGCTAGATCGTGCTTGTCGTCGCCGAAGATACGAAGATACGAACTAAGATAAGAATAATAAGAAGCAAAACATAACGAATAATACGACTAATGAGAAGCATAATACGACTGATTGTAAGAATACGGATACTAAACACTGTTTTTTCTCAGGATCCTCATGGAATCGAGGTACTCTGAACAAAGCAGCGACCCTCGTAGACTACGAATGAGGATACGACTAAAACGAACGAAGATACGATCGAAGACTAAGAAGAAATGTGAGGATGTCTCAGGGGATTTGGCCAATTCTATTAAGACATGTGAGGATGTCTCCAGCGATTTGGCCAATTCTAATAAGAAATGTGAGGGTGCTCAGGCGATTTGGATAATTCTGTTGAGCAATGTGAGGATGTCTCAAGCGATTTGGCTAATTCTAAGAAGAAATGCGAGGATGTCTCAAGCGATTTGTGCCATTTTACTAAGATGTGTGAGGAGGTTTCAAGCGAGTTCCTCCTCTTCCTTCTTTACTCTTTGTTCTGACCCGCTTGTTTTTTTCCGATGAGGCTTCTCTTGAAAATCCTTTAGAGGAATGCGTTTTTTCGGCCGTCGTAGGGTGTGGTCCACCCGAGGGTATCGCCCCCACCCCGCACCGTGGCGTTATCTTAGCACCCGGCCAAAACAAATATCCGCGCGACAGCCAGGTCGTGGTCGTCGTCGCCGTAATCGTCGGAAGACACCAATGGTAGATAGTTACTCCTGACAACCATGACATGGCTGAGAGGCCCAAGGAACAACTGATGTTTCAGGCGATCTGGCAAATGTTACTAAGAAATGCGAGGATGTCTCAGGCGAGTTTGCCAATTCTACTAAGAAATGCCAGGATGTCTTAGGCGACGTGGCCAATTCTACCAAAAAATATTATCCCGGCAAAGCAACCTAACAGCGATGTGTAGGAGCATATCTGGAAGCATTCCCCTTAAGATTCGGATGGGAATCCAGTTGTAGAATTCTGCTGTTCTCGCAGTCGTAGTCGCATTCGCGATGACAGTCGCAGTGGCAACGGCAGTCGCAGTCACAGCCTCAGCCTCAGCCTGCCTCAGCCTCAGCCTCAGCCTGCCTCAGCCTCAGCCTGCCTCAGCCTCAGCCTCAGCCTGCTTCAGCCTCAGCCTCAGTCTGCCTTCAGCCTCGGCCTCAGCCTCAGCCTGCCTCAGCCTCAGCCTGCATCAGCCTCAGCCTCAGCCTCAGCCTGCCTCAGCCAGCCTGCCTCAGCCTCAGCCTCAGCCTGCCTCAGCCTCAGCCTCAGCCTGCTCAGCCTCAGCCTCAGCCTCTGCAGCGGCCTCAGCCTCCGCCTGCCTCAGCCTCAGCCTGCATGAGCCTCAGCCAGCCTCAGCCTGCCTCAGCCTCAGCCTGCCTCAGCCTCAGCCTGCCTCTGCCTCAGCCTCAGCCTGCCAGCCTCAGCCTCAGCCTGCCTCAGAGCCTGCCTCAGCCTCAGCCTGCCTCAGCCTCAGCCTCAGCCTGCCTCAGCCTCAGCCTCAGCCTGCAGCCTCAGCCTGCCTCAGCCTCAGCCTCAGCCTCAGCCTGCCTCAGCCTCAGCCTCAGCCTGCTCAGCCTCAGCCTCAGCCTGCCTCAGCCTCAGCCAGCCTCAGCCTCAGCCTGCCTCAGCCTCAGCCTCAGCCTGCAGCCTCAGCCTCAGCCTGCTTCAGCCTCAGCCTCAGTCTGCCTTCAGCCTCGGCCTCAGCTCAGCCTGCCTCAGCCTCAGCCTGCATCAGCCTCAGCCTCAGCCTCAGCCTGCCTCAGCATCAGCCTCAGCCTCAGCCTGCCTCTGCCTCAGCCTGCTTTAGCTTCAGTCTCAGTCTGCCGTCGGCCTCGGCCTCAGCCTCAGCCTGCCTCAGCCTCAGCCTGGCATTCGGATTCGCAGTGGCAGTCGCAGTGGCAACATCAGCGGCAGTCGCAGTGGCACTGCAAGTAGTTGCAATAGCAATAGCTACACTAGCAGCAGCAACAGTGGCCCGGGAGTGGAGTTCTGGGAAGTGGAAGACCACGAAGTGGCCTACAGTTGGCTCCGGGCATTCAAAATGTGGCCCAGGAATGGTGTTCTGGGAAGTCCAAGAGCACGAAGTGGCCTACAGTTGGCTCCGGGTATCCAAAATGTGGCCCGGGAATGGGGTCCTGGGAAGTCGAAGAGCACGACGTGGCCTACAGTTGGCTCCGGGCATCCAGAATGTGGCCTGGGAATGGAGTTCTGGGAGGTCGAAGAGCACGAAGTGTGTGCCTGTTGGCGAAAAGCGAGCCCGGCTCTGTTCCCGGTCTCGGTTCTCCTCCCCGGCACCCGCCCAGACCCCCCTTAGGAGTCATGATGCTTTCTTTTGACCCTACTAGAAACCTATCAGCAAACGCTGTTAGGTAATAAGGAGTCACTGCTTCTTTCTGAGTACCTGGACTCCTGCCAGTACCTGGACTACTGCCTCCGAAGGCCTCTGAGAATGAGAGCTCCCTGGGCCCTGAGAGGCCCTGGACCCCGATGGGGAGGAGGTCAGGCGGATCGGCCGAAGGCCTCTGAGAATAAGAGCTCCCTGGGCCCTGAGAGGCCCTGGCCACTGAGGGGAGGCGAGGGGCCATTTGCTGAAGGCATCTCCAGGGCCCTGCTATGAGAACCCCTTGCGATACGTCTTGGACCGTCTTGGATTCTTCTGGAACTTCTCGGCCATCTTGGATTATTCTGAAGCTCCCTGGGCCGCGCAGGAGTCGTCAGGCTCCCTTAGTAGAAGTAATAGTTGGAGTAGGAGTAGGAGGAGAGGGAGGAGGAGCTGGAGTAGGAGTAGGAGTATAGGAGTAGGAGTAGGAGTAGGAATAGGAATACGAATAGGAGTACGAGTACGAGTAGACGAGTAGGCCAATTTTCTGAAGAATTGCGAGGATGTCTCAGGCGATTTGGCAAATGCTTATGAGACTGCGAGGATGTCTCGGGCGATGTGGCCAATTTGATTAAGAAATGTGAGGATGTCTGAAGCGATTTGGCCAATTCTATTAAGAAATGTGAGGATGTCTCAGGCGACTTGGCTAGTTAATTCTATTAAGAAATGTAAGGATGTCTCAGGCGATTTGGCCAATTCTACAAAGAAATGTGAGGATGGCTCAGGCGAGTTGGCCAATTCTATTTAGAAATATGAGGATGTCTCATGCCATTTGGCTAATTCGATCAAGAAGGGTGAGGCTGTCTCAGGCGATTTGGCAATGTCGGATGTAATTTTGCCAATTCTACTAAGAAGTGTAAGGATGTCTCAGGCGATTTGGCCAAGTCTGTTAAGAAATGAAAATGTCTCAGGCGATTTGGCAAATGCTGATAAGAATTGCGAGGATGTCTCAGGCGATGTGGCCAATCCTAATAAGAAATATTAGGATGTCTCAGGCGATTTGGCCAAGTCTGTTAAGAAATGTGATGATGTCTCAGGCGATTTGGCACATGCTGATCAGACTTGCGAGGATGTCTCGGGCAATTTGGCAAGTTCGATTTGGAAATGTGAGGATGTCTCAAGCGATTTGGCCAATCCTATCTGAAAACTGAACGCTTGAGCTCTGAAAGGACGGCAGGCACAGGCTGGAACTCTCCTGAGCACTGAAAGGTTGCCCTAATATTGCCAGGACTGTGAAAAGGCGAGCTGGGGGGGAAGGAGGGAGAGGGGGAAGGAGGAGGAGAAGTATTAAGCAATGTGAGGATGTCTCAAGCGATGTGGCAAATTCTGCTAAGAAATGTGAGGATGTCTCAGGCGATTTAATTTACTCGACTAAGAAATGTAAGGATGTCTCAAGCGATTTTGCCAATTCTAATAAGAAATGTGAGGATGCCTCAAGCGATTTGGCCAATTCTATTCAGAAATATGAGGATGTCTCAAGCAATTTGGCCAATTCTATTAAGACATGTGAGGATGTCTCAGGCGATTTGGCAAATTCTATTAAAACATGTGAGGACGTCTCAAGCGATTTGGCCAATTCTATTACGAAGTGTGAGGGTGTCTCAAGCAATTTGGCAAGTTCTATTTGGAAATGCGACGACGTCTCAAGCGATTTGGCCAATCCTATTAAGAAATGCGTTGATGTCTCAAGCGATTTGGGCAATTGTATTAAGATCTGTAAGGTTTTCTCAAGCGATTTGGCAAATGTTCGTAAGAATTGTGAGGATGTCTCAAGCTATTTGGCCAATTCTCGTACGAAATGTGTGGATGTCTCAGGCGAATTGGCCAATTCTGTTAAGACATATGAGGATGTCTCAGGCGATTTGGCCAAGTCTATTAAAACATGTGAGGATGTCTCAGGCGATTTGGCCAATTCTATTTAGACATGCGAGGATGTCTGAGGCGATGTGCTTCCTCCTCCTCCTCCTCCTAGCCGCAGGTGCCGGTAGGCCGACTCGCTTGTTCTGATGAAGGAGGGGTCTTCTGAGGGACGCGGTCACAGACTTTTCTTCTTAGGGGAAGGGAAACGGGTCTTGCGCCTTCTCGTAGGTTTTGGTTTCCTTGGGCCCTCAATTGGCCCAGGGACTGATCAAACGATTGCTCAGAAGAAGGAGTTAGTTCCAGAGAACAGCCCCGGTATTCAGCGCACGTCTCCCTTAGGGCTTTGTCTTTCATGCCAGAGAACGAGGGCGAGGGGGATGGAAAGGAAGGAGGTGGCCGACGAGCAGGAGGGTGAACAACAGGATGATGCGGAGGAGGACGATGAACCAAAGAGGAGAAGCAGCAGCAGCAGCAGCAGGAGCAGGAGCAGGACAAGCGGAAGTAGCTGAGAATCAGGGGAAGGTGATGGAGGGGAAACGGGGGGCGCGAAAACGCCGTCGAAAGAGGACTCGGACCCAGAAATGTGGCCCGCGCTGGGGTGAGATTGCTGTTCTTAACGACGGCAGCAAAGCGCCGATCCTGAAATGGGGCCAACGTTGCAGCGGAAACAACATGTGGAGAACAAGTTGAAAGCATGTTGCATGGTAAATCACGTATTCAAAGGCAGTGAATTCAGGGTGGTAACACAGTGCGCTGGAGAGGCAGAAACACGAGCACGCATCTGCATGGAAGAGAGTAGAGTAGTGCTCAACTTGTTGAGTATGTGTGGAGCTAAAGAGGGAGGAAAAGGAGAGGAGTAGGAAGGAGGACGATGAGGAAAGTGGATCCGCAGATCGCATCACAAGGAGGGAGGTGGAGCTGGAGCAAGAACAAGAGGATCCTGAACATAAGGAGGTCGGAGGAGGTATGAATGGATAGTTGAGGAGGAGGGGAGGGGGAGAGGAGGGATGAGGAGGGTGAGAGAGAGAAGGAGGAGCAGGAGGGAGGATCAACGAGAGCGGAGGGGGGAAGCCAGTGGACGATGAGATGGAGGGAGGTGAGGTGGACGAGGAGGGGGGTGAGAAGGAGGGACGTATCCACGTCCCCATGAAGTGAAGTACGAGGAGCTGCATTTTTGAGTTTTCGGCCCCAGGGGGGAGGTGCCTTTTTGGGCCCCTGGGCTTCCTTGATACCAGAAGTTGCTGGGAATGGGTACGTAATGCGTGTTCCATGCCTGCAGAGGTCTGGCCCTACGACTTCCGCATGCATTCGATGGTTTGTTTCGGCTTCAGGATCAAGGGCATCGATACCGTATCGATCGACGTCGACGTAGTTGCGATCCAGGCCGAGGGTATTCACGCGACCTGTCATTTTCTCTTGGATTGGTCCTCTCACTGGTCCTGGTCGACGACGTACGACGTCATCGCCAAGATCTCCGACGCGAGGCCAGTGAATCATAATTTTCTTGTTCCTCAACCTTCTCCCCCTTTCCTTTTCGCCCTCCAGGATTTAGACTCGAGGCTTCTGGACATGTTGCAGATGCTGATGCCTGTGGAGACCTCAGGGGATTTGCGGAGACCATGTTTTAATCCTGCATCTTATACCTTTCCTTCTACGTGCTCATCCTGCAGTTGCTCGTCCATCTTCCCTCCTCCATACACTGTGTCCTGCTCATCCTCCCAGTCCTTTTTACTTAAGACGCTTCGCGTAAACCCCAACAGTCCATCCAGAAACGATGCCCCAGCGAGTTGTCCTGATCAGGAATGGTGGGGGCACGCAGTGGACTAAAGGGCTGCGGAAGTGGAAGCCAGGAGGAGGGGGAGGAGGGACGAGGGATGAGGGCGGACTGGGAGGAGTATGAGGCGGATGAGGAAGAGGATGGCGAGGAGGAGGAGGAGGAGGAATCTCTGGAGTCTCTCCCTCGTCGCGTTGCGATGAAAGAGGAGGAGAAGGACGAGGAACAGAGAGGAGGAGGAGGGGAAGAGGAGGAGGAGAATGAGGAGGGCGAGTCAAAAGGCCAGAGGCCCCTTCGATGCTTCTCGGAGTTCCGTCGGATGTCTATCGGGAGTTTCTGGTCGGCCTCTTGGGGCCTCATGGGATCTTCGTGGCGGTCCCGGGGGCCTCTTGACGCGTCTTGGGTGCCTCGGGGAAGCCTCTTCGGGCCTCTTGGTGTCTTGGGAGGCATCTTTGGGGCCGCTGAGGGGCCTGTGGGGGCCTCCTGGTGCCACTTGGGGAACCCTTGAGAGCCTCGGGGTCCATCTTGAGGCCATCTTGGAGGAGATCGATCAAAGACGGGGGGCTCCTTAGTCCCCCCCCAAGAAGCCAACATGTTGCCAAAACCTATGTACAGTCAATGATTATGACCTTCTCGCCAAGGTCTCTAGCGGCGTCTTGGGTGCCTCTGGGGGGCCCCCTTGGGGTCTCTTGGGAGCCTTTTGGGGGCCCTCTTGGGGGGCTCCTGGGCACCTATTGGGGCCGTTTTGGGGCACCCATGGGAGCCTCGGGGGCTATCTTGGGGCCATCTCGAAAGAGATCGATCAAAGGAGGGGAGCTGGGCCCCTCCCTCTCTCCCCCAGAAGGCCAACATGTGGCCAAAACCTTGGTTGCGTGAGTGACGTTGCCTTCTCGCCGAGGCCACTCTGGACGCTCCAGCGACACGCGGCCCGGCCCGTCCAGACTCGGGGGCAGAGGATGGGGGGAGGGGTAGACCCCTCCCCGAAAGGAAAGTGGGACGATGGGAGAGGAAACTCCCAACAGTCAACCCGCATAGTGTTTTTTTGTTAGTCGTTTTTCCCGATCGGCGCGGGCCCTCGCCCCCCCCTCCCCCGTCCCCCCCCCCCCCCTGGAGTAGATCTTGGCTGTTTTTGGCGCCTGTTTCGAGCAGGTGGAGCCTCCCCCATAGCGGACGCACTGCTGCAAACAGTCGCGCTTAGCACAGGTCCGGGGCCAGACCCCCCCCCTCCCCCCATGCTTCCCACTGTCGAAACGCCGAATAAAAAACGCTCACATAGTACGGATGAGCAGATTTCCAAGGTTACCTTTGCATCTTTCCCCTTCGGCCCATTCATGTCCGCTGTCGCTGGCCGCGCCCCGCTCGCACAGCGACTACATCCTGCATCCTTTTATCGTGCCCTTAGTGTATAGGGGTTGGCTGTCACCCACTAACACGCCCAGAGGGGTGGTGGGATTCTCGTCCCCTTGCTGCTCTTTCTGCTCCCTAGGCTCGGAAGTCCGATCCGGGTCAGCTCGACGGTCGCCGTGGTGCCGACTTCGGGGACCATCTTGTTGCCCGACAAGATCGAGGCCTACGACTGCGTCAAGAACACTGAGTTTAACAACATCTCGGTCACCGCGTAGTCAGATAGAGGAGAGGGAGGAGGATGAGGAGACGAGCGCAGGAGAAGGCACAGGATTGGGATATGATTCCAGGCCTCGTGATCAGGATCAGGGTCTGAGCCTGATCCGATCAGAGGGAGACGAGAAGACGATACGGCAGGAGGATGAGGATCGAGATTCAATCCCTGACCTCCTCATGTTCAGGATCATGGTCTATTCCTGATCCAGTCAGGTGAAGAGGGAGGAGGAGGTGGCCGAGGACGACGAGGACGCATGAACAGAAAACATGGCCGTGGCCTTTGGAAGCTCGCGCGGCGAGCATTCCCAGGGAGCCCACCACCAAGCAGGGTGCTCGAATTTGGTCGAGCGGCCTGCGGGCGTAGATGGTCGCGATCTCCAAAGGGGCGATTACCGTGGTGATCAAAGTAGTTCGGGCTTTGCCATGCGGAATACCGCCTGGGTCGTCAATCAAATTTCTCCGCGGTCAAGCCCCGCGAGATATTCCCCGACCCTGGCCAGTTGTTGGCGCGCGCGGCGCAGTGCTCAGATGCCGTGGAATATTGCGAAGGGCGCCGTCTCGTGGCGGGCCTGACTAATGAGTTGACCGGGGAGCTGCCGTGCTTGGGTCGGGGGGAGGGGGTGGGAGTTGCAGTCTACGCGTGATCCTTTACTGCGGCCCCAAGTACACCCCCGCTATTTGAAATAAGGCCAATGACTCACACCACGGGGCACAATCATTCCGGAAAGTCCCGGATTCTGCGAGCCCAGGGATTCATCCGAGCAGGTGGTCTAACATTCGCGCGCCCGACCGTCGACGCATTGTTGAACAGCGCGCGTCGGGGAAGCGGGTCTTCGGGATTGACGACCCAAGCCCATGTCTGGCAGTGCTTCGGGCCATCGGAGCGGGGCCCCGCGTTGATCCACCAGCGGAAACCGCTGGTGTGAGTGCGCGCTGTCCGGATACGGAGTCCGACCCAGGGTCAGACGGAGATTCGGATGGCGAAGACATGTGTTGGCAACAAACGTGGCTCAACCAGCGGCGCCCCGCCCCCCCTAGCATCCAACGAGAATAAAAAGGCAGGCGTGACCGCGAGTCCAGCGGCCGCCGCTTCGCGGCGCAGCGCGCCCAGAGGGCCGCCGTTTTCGCCAGCGACATGTTTCACTGCCCGCAGAGAAAGGACAGGCTTGATTTTCCATGATGATGCTATGGCCCGCTATCGGACAACAGTTAGGTGTCTGGCGATTCTTCTGAGGTCCCCAAATTTCTTTCCAAGCGAAAGGTTGGCGCCACCGCGCCCCATGACATTCCCAAGTCCGAAGCGTCGGGGAACCAGCGTGATCGTAGAGCGCTCAGGGATGAGCGGAGCCGTCTCAGAGCGATCGGCACTGGGGGCGAGAAGGAGCTCGAAAATACAATGGTGCAGTGGCCCGACTTCAGGGCAAGGCAGCTTGTTTCGGGCGTCTTTCTGCTATCCCGGCAGAACGATTCGGAATTACCTGGAGGGCATGAGGGTCGTAAATGCAAATGGCGGTCTGTTTTTGATGGGTCTGGTGTTTGGGGCTAGAATCTAGATGTGGCTTTTCCCTTGGAAATTTCCAGTGGCCATATTACGACGCAGGCTGGTAAAGCGGAAGATGTGTTCGATTTGTTCGAGGGTCGCGAGATGCAGCAGGCTGGCGCCAAATAGGCTTGTACCCAGTCCCAGTTCGGCGATGCACCCACCTGGATTTTCTTCCTCGGGAAGAGAGGCCCGGATCTTGGCGAGGCATGCGGATGTCCGCGCGCCCTCTAATTTGTTCGTTGCATGACCACGCGGATTTGGGAGGCATGCGTGGCCCATGTCTCGCGCGTTGGCTGCAGGAGATCAGGTTGAGGACGTGTGCGCTAGATGCGGAGAGCCAGGCGTCCGTGCGTTTCACCGCCTGTGGGTTTGCAAGTCCTGCGAGGATCTGCGTGCCGAGCTTGCCCCTGCCAGTGTGATGGAGTGCGCCAGACAGCCAGACCCCTCGGAAATTGAAAGGCGTTAGCTCGAGACGGGTCTTCTGTTTCACCCTGGTGGCTGGTGGCCCAAACCCTTCGGACAGGGCGAAGCTTTCGCCTTTCATTCGTGAAGGTTTCGAGGCTGCTGCACCAGCCGCTTCTTGCGACATATCTACTGGTTTTGCCACGCACGCGGACGAAGGCGAGGAACTGGTGGGGGATGCCTTCTTGGCTGGCTCGCGTCAGACGTCTCCAATCAAGGAGTCTTGGAGGGCGCGGCGGGAAACGGCCAAGCTCTCGACTGACGGGGGGCTGGGGGCCCTTCTGCGTGGGCCCCTCTTCCCCAGCCGCCCACAGACTCAGCTCGGCAGTTGGGTTCGGGGCCCCAGCTTGCACGGCAGCTTACCTGTCGTCCCACCCCGTTCGTTTCAAGAGTGATTGTCAACATGTTGCGAAATCGTGGCCCTCTTCAAGATTCGAGCGGTGTTCGCATTAGAATCTCCTGAGATCGCGCAGAAGGCTTGGCCGCCATATTTTGCGCGGGCGGAACCTCCGGCATCCCGAAAGGGAAAATGTTTAAGTCATATCACACACCAAATATCAATTATGAGACAACATATGAGCACATGTATTTATGTTGTTTTGTTCTATATTGTTCTGGGGTGGGGGGCTTCTGGCATCCCGCGAGGAAAGATACCAAACATAGCAAGAAACGGCCAACACTCTATAAGACGATCATTCGACAATGCATGAGTACATCGATGGCATGCCGCTTTGATATGTTGCGGCGGGCGTCTCTGGCATCCCGCGAGGACAGATACCACCTTTTTCTCATAACAACGACCCTCCAATTTTATGAAGAGTTTACAGCATGTCCGCCGCATGCGAGGCCTCGGAGCCCAGGGCCTGGCCCCCGACAGCGCGCGGGGGGGCACCGAGGGCCCCAGGGGTGCCCGGGACCCGCCCAGCGAGCCCCCACGCGCCCCCGAGGTGCCAGAAGATGACCCTTAGACGCCCAGGGGCGCCTGCCTCCAGATTTAAGTCGTGCGCGTCCCTCTACAGGAGGAATGTTCAAACACAGGCATAACAATAGTATGGAAACGTTTTTTTTTCCTGTGTATTTGTAGTAAACTTTTGAATTGTTTCATTTATGTATTTGTTTGGCCTGTAGGAGGACACGCCCGACCTAAATCCAGATGTCGACCGCGCGTAAGAGTGACCCTTCGACGGAGTAACCTCTGGCGCGGGCCCACTGGAGTCCCCCGATTGCCTAACGCGATGCGAAAGCAGCGTCTTGCGCGCTTGCATTTGGTCCCCCCGCGGCCCCCCAGAAGCCGCACACCAGAGGCCTGTCCTGCCCAGGGCATTCTTGCATGCAACCGATGATGGCCCACCACGCTCCCAAGGTGCCCCACGCAGGCTTCCCGACGGCCCAAGAGGCCCCCCAGACGCTCTAAGATGGTTCCAAAATGTTTCCCAGGAGGGTCAAAGAGGCAAAGCCCATTGGTTCCCCATAAGATCTTGAATGCTTCGGAGATGCTGCCTCTTCGGCGCGCCGACGCTCCGCAACAGCCCCAGAGGCTCCAGCGCTCGCCCCAAGACTCTTCCAAAGGCCCCCCACAGCTCGCCCAGACTGCTCGAGAAGCTCCAAAGATGCCCCAGGCGACCTCCAGGACAGCCCCTCAAAAAAAGCCGAATGGTTATCAAATCAGTCCCAGGTGCTCATCACGCCCCCCAGGCGACCCACTACGATCACACGGCGCTCCACGAAATTTTCCAGACAGCCCACAACGCCCCTATGTCCAAGAGGGCTCCTAGGCGCCCCCGAGGAGGGCCCCAAGAGCGAATCAACAATGGTTGCCCAGAAAGGTTTTTCATGATTGTTCGTGCTTCCGCCTTTTCGCCTTGTCGACGCTCCGAGACAGCACAAGAAACACAATAGCTCACCCCAAGACCGAATAAGATATCCCCAAGAGGACGCCCAGATTGCCAACGACACACCAAAGACGGTCCACGAGACCTCCAGGACAGCCGAAGAAGGCCCCGAATCGCCAGACAAATCATTCCCAGGCCCGTATGCCGGCCCCCACGCGGCACACCGCACCCCACAGGCGTTCTTCGACGTCTGCCAGGCGCCGTACGACGTCCCCAAATGAGCCCCAGAAGCATGAACATTCGCGCCAAGACGGTTTCAGAGGCTCCCACGAGGGCGTCCACATTGTCCAAGAGTCCCCAAGGACGCCCCAAGTTCCATTCGCAGTGCAGAAGAAAGAAAGAGACATCCAGCACAGACCAAAAGGCACCGAAACGCAAAAAGCATTAACTCCCAGACGCCTGTCGCGCTCTCCAGGTTATCAGATCTTTGTCGCATCTTTGTTGTTTTCGGCTTGCCGACGCTCCACAGAACAGCTCCTGAATCCTCAAAGCTCGCCCCAAAGCGGCCTCAGAATATCCCAAGACCGCGCTGGGAGGGTCCTAGGAGACCCCCAAGACGGCCCAACAGGTTTCCAAGATGGCTCGAGAGGGCCCAAAAAACGTTCCAAGAGAGACTCCGGAGGGGAACCGAGAACCGAGTTGCCCGCCCCCAAGAGCTCCAGGGAAGCTCAAAGAGACCCTCTCCGTAGCCATTTTGGCCCAAGGCCCTTCGCTCAAGGAAGTTCGAGCGTCTGTGCAGGCTGTGCTTCTGCCTTCTGCGGAGTCGCAAAGGAGCCTCTGTCCTGGGGATCGCCATGGCACCTGCGCCCGCGGAGAAAGAGCGCTGCCTTAAGGAGATGCAGGAGGAGCTGGTGCACTGCTCGCGCCGGGGCGAGGTCGCCCGCGCGGAGGAGCTGCTGGGGCGCATCGCGGCCACCCCGGGCTACCAGGGCTGCGTGGAGGACCTCGGGAGGGTGGAAATGGGGGGGTGGCCCAAATTGGGGGTGAAGAGGAGGGCCCTAAAGGAGCCGTACTCTTCACCCCCAACAGTTGTATGTTGCTGTGTCGCCCCACTTTGGTGCATCTTGTGCTACGCCGCGCGCGCGTGACACACTGGTGTCGCCGAGCCGTTGGCCACGTTAACTCGAACGGGTCAGGTTAGCTTTGGCGCAGAATGGGCAAGGCCTGGGTCAGGTTAGGGTAGGGATTGGCTACGTTAGGGGCGGGGCAACCACCCGCCCGAGAGGACTTCAACGCGGTCATCCACACCTGCACGCAGGCTGGGAGCATGGCGCGGGCGGAGGAGCACCTCGCTGGCATGGAGAGCCGCGGGCCCGCGCCGAACATACGCACGTACAACATGGTCATGCGATCGTTTTCTTCTTCAGTGTTTTGCCGATCGGCGCGGGCCCTCGCCCCCCCCCCTCCCCCGGTCGCGAGGCGCGGGCCCCGGGGATCCCATCGCACCCGCACAGGGTGCGCAGGAGGAGGTTGCGAGACAGCGCAGGGCATGCAGGGGGTGGCCTGGGCGACGACTGGATACGCGCGTGACCGCATGTTTTCCCAGCGGTTGGCCCTCGTATGGCTAGGTACGCCAGAACCCCGCATGTGCATCCAGCGCGTGGCTTCCGGATGTTCCACATGTGAGTGCCGCCATGTGTGGAGTAGATCTTGGCTGTGTTGGGGATTTGTTTCGAGCAGGTGGGGTCTCCCCCGTAGGGCGCCCTGCTGCAAGCAGTCGCAGTGAGCAGAGTTCGGAGCCAGACCCCCCCTTCCCCCCCCTTCCGCCCAATGTCGAAACGCCGAAAAAGAAAACGTTGACCATCAACGCCTACGCCAACGTGGGGGACGTCGCCCGCACGGAGAAGTTCCTCGAGCGCATGAGGCTCAGAGGAGGAAAAAATAGCCATACCGCTACCATTCCTCCGTTTTCCCCTTGGGTCTCGTGGGTTGCCCTCGTCGCCACCACTGGGTTCGCCTCGGCATTCTGGTCAGAACGCGCCCCGGGAGAGGTCCGGGGAGTAGCGGTATCGGTACCTTGTGGTTTCCCTAGAGGCTGCTCGGCGTCCAGCCTAATTACGTGACCTACAGCACCCTCTGCAAGGTCTACGCCCGCCTCGGCGCGGTCGAGGAGATCGAGCAGGTGATGAAGATCGTCGAGCAGTACGTCGGGCCCGTCAACGAGTACTTCTTCGCCTCCCTCATCTCCGCGTGCGGCCAGACGACCCCGCCGCAGCCGGAGCGTGCGGAGGGGGCCTTGGATGACCTGGTCCGCCGCGGCCTGAAGGCGCAGAGCGTGAAGCGGGCGCTGTCGCGGGTCGTTGGCGAGGAGAGGACGGCCCACTTGTTGAAGATGTTGGGGCTCAAGATGGTGGGGCAGCCCCAGGTGCGCTTAGGTCGGGCATGTCTCCCTACAGGGGGATTTTGGACGACAAATGTAAAAGTGGTACAAAAAAAGCTTTGGAACATAATTCAGAAATATCCAAAACATCATTCCCTGACTATTGTTTTGGCTATTTTTGAATATTCCTCCTGTAGAGGGACACGCCCGACTGGAAGGTGCGCCCGGGCGCCACTGCCACGCAGCTGCCGCTGCCCCCGGGCCTCGTCGCGGAGGCCTCTGGCGCGCGCCGCCGCGTGGTGCCTCCCGCCGCCGGCAAGAGGGCGCCGAGCGGCAAGGGCACAGCGGACGCGCACGACGGCAGCGGCAGCAGCACCGGCCTGGGGACGCCGCGCCAGGGGCCCTCCGTGAGCTCCGCGGCGAGCGACGGGTCTGGCAGCGAGGGGCAGGGCCAGGGGCCGTGGGCCGCAGAACCGAGGATAGGGGAACGAGGGGAACGAAGAATGGCATAAACACAAAAACATGGCGGCGCCTCCGGCGCCGCCCCTGATGCGCTCCGCGCGCCAGGGAGAGGGCTCCAGCGCCGATCCGAGAAATCCGCGCGGGCCTCCGAGTTCTCATGTTTGTGCCAGTGCCATGCTTCGCTTCCCTATAGAGGAGGCCCCCGGGCTGCGGCAGGGGCGCCCACGCGGCCCGGGGCGCTGCCAGGGGCGCGGCCCGGGGCGCGGCCACGGGCGTGGCCTGGGGCGCGGCCACGGGCGCGGCCAGGCCGCAGAGCTTCGGGAAGGCCCACGCGCCCGTGGCGGCCCCGCCCGGCGGGCGCGGCGCCCCAGCGGCCTTGGCCCAGCAGGCGGCCCTGCGCGGCTGGCAGGCGCAGCCGCCGAGGGCTCAGCAGCAGCAGTAGCCGAGCTGGCAGCAGCAGCAGCCGGCGCGCCCGAGCTTCCAGGCTCAAGTCGGGCATGCCCCTCTACAGGAGGAATATTCAAACATGGCAAGACAATATTATGGGGGCGATGCGATGCTTTTGGTTTCATATATAGATCTATAAATAGACTTGGGGAACAAACATGTTTGACTATTTGTTGTTTTTTATTCTTCCTACATCCGCCTGTAGGAGGACACACCCGACCGCATTCCAGGCCCCGCCAGGCCTCGCGGCCTTCCAGTCCGCGACCCCGCGGCCGCCGAGCAACGGCGGCAGCCACTACGTCCCCGGCAGCGCACTGCGGCAGGCCGCCTCGCTGTAGGACGGCACCCGGCTCCACTGGCAGCCGGCATGCATGCGCTTCTGGAAAGTCAGGCCCCCGGAGACCAGGACACAGATAATCCAGGACACGGACAACCAAGGAAACGGCACTATTTCCTGCAAGGTCACCTTTTCCATCACCCGTGCATCTTTTGTTTGTTGCACTGGAGGATTCGGGTTTGTGCCCGGGTTGTTGGGGGGGCCTTGTAGGCTTTTATATCGGGCCTGTATCCGGGTTTGTTCTGGGAATGTTGCAGTGCACTCTTTTGTTCGTGCCGCCGTCTGGAAGAATTTGTTATGAGGGATGTTGGGTGTCCGGGTCTAGCGCGTCTGGATTTAATTACGGGGCACTGAAACAACCGGGGAGACAGCAATGACATAAACATAAGAATTCAGATGTCCGTGCAGATTCCTCGCATCGGCGCTGGAGCCCCCTGGCGGCGCCTCCGGCGCCGATCCGAGAAATCCGCGCGTACCTCCGAGTTCTTATGTTTGTGTCATTGCTAGCTCCCCTAATTTAAACCGCGCTCTCTGGTCACAGCAACTGCCCCTGGGCAAGCCGTCGGGAGCCTTGAGACATGGGGGTCCATGCAAACGCGGGTCAGTCAGAGAGCGCGGGACCTTGCAGCAACCTGCAGAGCCAGAGGTGCACTGACCGGGGCTTGCGTACAGGATCTTGCAAGATTTTGCAAGGCCCGACTGACCCGGGTTTGGATGGATCAGGGCCAGCAGATCCCCGAAGTCAGGCTTTGGGCCATCCACCTCATGAGGGCCGGGCTGCCAGTACCAGAGCCTCCTTCCTCCGGCCATGATTATATCAGGCCTGCGTTTGGATGCCACCCACGCAGGCCAGCGCCGGTTCCCATCTCCTTCTGTCCACATGTAAGGGTGCCATCCCCCTCTGTGGCCCTGCCGAGCTCGGCTTTCTCACTCATGCCCCGGCGGCTGCGGCTGACCGCAGGAAGACCCACGAGAGGTCAGTGCTGCAGCGAGCCCTCGTCGAGCAGGCCGCTTTTTTCGGGGGCGTCCCCGCCCCCGATTCCGGCCGTCACTCGGCGGGGCGCGGGCGGCTCTTCGCGAGCGCAGCGCGACGGTGCGCTGTTCCTGGACGGGCAGGAGAGGGATGGATCAAGATTCGGGAGAGGGAGAGGTTTGAGCTCGCGTTGCGCGCCTTCTGTCGCTGCCCGCATCGTCGCCCCGGCCAGGGCCGACTCTTGGCGGTCAGATGCAGACGCTTTTTTTTGTGTTGTAATATCTTATGCGAACGCGGGCACCGATGGATCGTTGGCACTTCAGCGTACACGCTGATTCGCCTGTCCGCGCGCTCATTGCGCACATCATGGCGTATCACAATCGCGCCATCCTTTCCAATGGTCCTGCATTGAGATAGATGCCATGGTCTGACGGTGTGATGTGTGTTGGTCGTTGGTCGGTGGGGAGAACGTTACCAATGTGCAGATGATTGGTGCCTGTGATCAAGCGTGTGGCTTTTATAGAATTGACCGGTGCGCAGTCTATTCGCGAAATTGCTGAGGTCCACTTCGAGGTGCCACTGCAGGCCCGTGACCATCCCGCCGCCTTTTGGCTGCAGCGTTGGCCCGTCGGGCTAACGCTGCAAAGCTCTCCCACCCCTGGGGCTCCAAGGCTGGCCCTCCCAACTGGGGGGGCTTCCGACGAGTGAGGCCGTTGCAGTCCCATTCTGCTCCCCCTCGCCCTCCCCTTGGCATCGCTCGGATGTGTGCATCTTGTTCTTGGCGAGGAGCATCGAGAAGCATCCTGGGCCATCTGGCAACAGAAAGCACGCACGAACCCGAAACATGCACGGGGAGTGGACGTCCGAGCGATGTCAAGTCGTAAGTCGGGGATGTCCCTCTGCAGGAGGAATATTCAAGAATAGTTGTCTGGGGACGATTTTTCGTGCCTTTTCTTTGACTCGTTTCGAATATTTGACTTTGCTTAGTTTTCTCTTCTGGAATCCGCCTGTAGGAGGACATGCCCGACCTCAGGCGAGCCCCGTCCTGGTCGGCGGGCGGCATTATTGCATGTCGCAGAAATTATGCGCCCGGACCGAGACCGAGACCAGGACTGTCCGCCGTCGCGGCCTCGGGGCGGCAATGTTTGGAATGCCGAATAGAGCCAAACCTCACCGAGAACAAGACCAGGACTTTTACTGCAGTGGCCAGCAGTGCTGGCGCTGCCCGGCGCCCCCCCTTGGGTCGGGCACACCCGCGCGGCTGCTGCTGCCTTCGCGCCTGCAGCCCCTGCCACGCGGAGGTTTCGGCGGTTCTCCCTGCGCATGCCGACCTCAGGAGCGCCAGAGGTGTTGGGCGCGAGTGAAGGTCGAAGAAAAAGTCGGTGGTAGAGAGAACCCCCACCAGGCCAGCCACATCTGGGGGAGCTGTGGTCCTTACCCCCCTGGGGGACCCATCGAATTCGACACCCCTCTCGAGAGATCGTCGATGCGATGGGTTCCCCCAGGGGGGTAAGGACCACAGCTCCCCCAGATGTGGCTGGTCGGCCCACCCTGACACGGTTATCAGTGCATTGTCCGTTCTCGGTTCTCGGGAGGGCGCTGCGACCGTTGGTCATTTTCCAGGCTTGCACCCGCCAGGTATGAGGGTCGGAGATGCAAGGGGTGGCGGGCCCTCAAGATGCACGTGTTGGAAACGCAGGCCCGCGTGCGCGCCTTCGGCGCGAGGCCCACACATCGGGCAATGAAGCTCAGCTGTCTTATTTCCTGGCGCGTGTCAGCCGTGATGGTATGCCTCGGTGGCGAGTGCGCGTGCCTCGCGTATATATGACCCCGTGCATGGAGCGTACAACCGAACCATTTTACGATTCGGGCGTCATGGCGGCGCCAGGTTTGGGCCCGAGGTCGTTTTCACTAAACCACGTTTTGCTAAAGGTGGTTTTGTCCATCCCCGAACAATTGTTTGATCCGCGGGTCGAAAACGCACCTCTTCCGGTCGAAACTAAGCGGGCCGCGCACAGCTTTAATTGACAGAGGGGGGAGGGCAGAAGGAGGGGCCTCACGTCAAGGCCAAGAGAGGGCAAAGCCCCGGAATCAGGCGGCGCCGAAGACGATATGCTTGCAAAGGAACGCCTTGTACAGGAACCCGGTGGCGAAGTATCGGAATAAGCAAAATGCTGTAATGGTGGTGCCGTCAGCGGCGCGTCATGTACACCAGCCTCAAGTGGCCGCGGGAGACGATGCACCACGTATCCAGGGCGACGCCAGGGAGGGTGAGGAGCACCGATGGGCCGGAGTGCAATGTTGTGCCACCGAACAGGATGCAGGAAATGCCCAGGCCGTGGTTGTCCAAGGTGCCACGTACACAGGGTAAGGAAACCACAGTCTGAGGCGCGGCAGTCAGGTCATGCCAGGACCGTGCCGCCTATATCGACCGACGGGGTTCCGGTGTGCTGCAGGGAGGACGCCTGCCCTGGAATGGCGAGCGCGTGGGATTGGGCCGAAGCCGTGCACGCTGCGCTGCCGTAGTCCGTGGTGCCCAGGGCCGGGCCAGGGCCGCGCTGCGCCCAGGACCGCGGGGCCGCCGAGGCGGCAAGGTTCGAGCAAGCGCCAGGCACCGGGCCGAAACCGCGATGTGCCGGGCACTGCCGCCATGGGAGGGGGGTAGCGAGCGGGGAGGGGAAAGCGGGCAGGGAGGAGAGGGGCTGGCCAGGCGGGCCAGCCACCGCCAGGGCAGCCCCGCGCCAGCAGCCGGGCGCAGTGCCAGCGTTGGAGGCAGGGAGATCCTGCGGAAATCAAGGGGGACTAACCGTCCCATATCCAGGTAAACGAGGAGGGAGGGACGGCACGTTGCCGAAGGCGTCGACCAGGCCGTACTCGAAGAAAAACGCCATGATACGTGCCAGGGCCAGGAGGGGCGGTTCGGGCGAGGTGTCCGAGGTCAAGGGGATTGTTCGAAGCACTGCTGTGCGTCAGCGCTTGGGCACTGTATCCCTTGTCAGTGTCCGCTCGGAACGCGTAGCGGGCCGTCCCCCGCGCCCGTAGTGATTGGCCGTATCCAGGTTCAGCCGGATTCCTGATGCATGGCGCTTTCGCAATCCCAGTCGATATCGCAGTTGGTGCGGGATCAGGAGGGACTGACCGTCCCATTATCAGGTGTGCATGGGGAGGGGGGAGACAAGGTCGGGCGCTGCGAACGGTGACAAACTGGTCGCACCCGGAGTACAGCGCCAAGAGGCCTGCCAGGGACAGGAGGGGCGGTTGGCGCGGCACCCTGGGCGGCGGCGTCAGGGGGGAGCGCAGGGCACGTCAGCGCCTGGGGCGCTTCCCGGCCCAGTTGTCGGTGTACCCAGAGCTGCGTGTTTGGCCATATCCGCGCCCCTCGCCTTTGGCCACCTCCCCCTTCCGCTTTGTCCATCCCCGAACAAAAACATACATAATCAACGGCATAAACATTAGTTGGTGGCGTTCCACGCGGATTTTTTGGATCGGCGGTTGGCTCCCCTGGCGGTGCTTCCGGCGCCGCCCACGGCGTGCTGCGCGCGCCAGGGAGGCGGGTCCAGCGCAGATCCAGGAAATCCACGCGGAGCGCTACAAAGTTTTGTTCATGGCAGTTTTTTCGTCTTCCTGAATGGTGGGGCGATAAATGTGGTCAGATGAGGAAAAGGTAACCGCATCCCCCGGATAA